TTTTGAGCAGTATAATCAGTAAAATACTGTAATTCTTCAATATAATAATCTTTAATCGCAATATACATATATTATATACCAATTTTACTGTGCAATTTTATCGTCAATAACTTTTGTTTTCGTTTGTATTTATAATTATTAAATTTTAATTGATTTAATTCAGTAGCTTTTTAAAAAAATTAGATGTGTGCGGCTCTCATCGAATCTATAGACAAGAGTAGGTATGTGTAACTGCATTATCGTTTTATTCATTGTAATTGAATACAAATAAAAGTGACATAAAGATTAATATATATAAATTGACATTTAAATATTGCATACATATATTTAAAAGAAATCTGAAAAAACGTTTTAAATTCAGATGTAAAGCAACTCAAAATGTCTTATAGATATCTTTCTAATAATTTCGTAAAATGTTTTCAAAATTTTAAGGAGTCTTTTATTTCTATCAATCTAACAACAATAATGTATTATAACTTTAATTTTGATTTAATATAATATTTATTTTCTCTGATTCTCCTTACATAAAAAATAAAATTTAAAAAAATAAAAACAAATTAAATACCGAGAATAATGTAATTTACATTGATTGAAACAGATATTAGTCGATTCCAAAAATATTACAGTTCTGTTTTGTAAGTGAAAATTAATATTTTAATTATTGATATTTTAAATAGAGATTTATGTTCTTAAAATTAATAAAATATGAGGCGAATATAGTCATACTAATTGTTCAAAATTTCTAAAAACCAATTTCAAAAAATTCCAAGGAAAGATTTAATTAATATAAACTTTTTTAAATATATTTTATCAATTAACGATAAAATCTCAACTTTTCTTTAAATATTTAATGAACAAAAATATCTCTAGATGGCACCTTATGTAATAAAAACAATATAACCTAACTCTAATCTATTTTAATTCTATTCTTAAGAACCTGTGCATTTACATTTAAAAGGTATAAATAAGAGCTAAACAATTAATAACATGAGATTCTTACTATTTTTTACAATTTTTCAATAATTTCAAGACAATTTATATTGGACTTGGATGTGTTAATTCAGTAACACATGCACTTAACCTCAAATTGTTAAAGTGATACGTTTTACGAGTACAGTGGACCATTTCTTAGAAATCATTTTTGTCTTTAACGAACATGCCTGCTCCATGCGAGGAAATTATCGAGGACATCGAGGATTTAATTGCGTCCCAGGACATAACGCCTAAGGAGAGATATAATTCGCGGAAACATATCACGATACGACCAAAGCGAAGGAAGCAATTGCAAGAGGAAGTATCGCAGCCGTCTATCTTGTCGAGCATAATACCCGGCACGCAAACGATTTATGTAAAAACATGGGGATGCACGCACAACAGTTCGGACACCGAATATATGACCGGTCAATTAGCGTCGTATGGTTATAATTTGACCGAGGATAAACTGAAAGCGGATTTGTGGCTTCTAAACTCTTGCACTGTGAAGAGTCCTGCAGAAGATCAATTTAGGAATGAAATAGAGTATGGAAAGAAAATTGGCAAGCACGTTGTAGTTGCTGGGTATGTAATTATGCACCTGCAATGGTGGAACAAGAATTTGATAATGCATTATCTATAATGTAATATCATTATTTGTAAATTCTGTTATCTGATACTTGTATTTAATCGAACATTAGTATAGAATTTTAATAGTACAATGAACTTTCTAATTTAAAAAATTATTTAGAGCTATCTTAAGATTCTAAACATTTTATTTGTATCTTATAGATGTGTACCACAAGGTGCTCCAAAATCTTCCTTCCTTCAAGGATTGAGTGTAATTGGAGTACAACAAATTGATCGAGTAGTAGAAGTTGTGGAAGAAACTTTGAAAGGAAATACAGTCAGATTCTTACAGCAGAAGAAGGACCTTGGTAAGAAGACAGGCGGAGCTTCACTGAATCTTCCAAAGGTACGCCGGAATCCGCTTATCGAGATTATAGCCATTAACACAGGCTGCTTGAATCAATGCACCTACTGCAAGACAAAACATGCACGAGGTGAACTAGGTAGTTATCCTCCAGAAGAGATAGTCGAACGAGCCAAGCAAGCTTTTGAGGAGGGTGTATGTGAGTTGTGGCTCACATCGGAAGATACAGGCGCCTATGGTAGGGACATTGGCACTAATTTGCCAAAACTACTGTGGCAATTGATAGATGTGATTCCTGACGGTTGCATGATGCGCATCGGTATGACCAATCCACCATATATCTTGGAACATCTGGATGAAATGACCAAGATTCTAAGGCATTCTAAGGTCTATAGCTTCCTACATATTCCGGTACAGTCCGGTAGTGATCATGTACTAGCTGACATGAAGCGGGAGTATACATGTGCCGAATTCGAGCATGTAGTAAACTTTCTAAGCGAGCGAGTGCCTGGTTTGACTATCGCCACAGACATTATTTGCGGTTTCCCAACGGAAACGGAGATGGATTTCGAAGAGACGATGACACTCTGTCAAAAATACAAGTTCCCAAGCCTCTTTATCAATCAGTTCTTCTCTCGACCCGGCACGCCTGCCGCTAGGATGCCGAAGGTACCTGCGCAAAAGGTAAAAACTAGAACCAAGAGATTGTCGGAATTCTTCCAGTCCTACGAACCATACGGACACAAAGTGGGGCTGATACAGAAGGTGTTAGTAACAGAGGTATCGCATGATAAGCAGCATTACGTGGGTCATAACAAATTCTACGAACAAGTGTTGATTCCGCTGAAGCAGGGGTACATGGGAAAAATGATTGACGTAAGGATTATAGAAGCGACGAAGTTCTCTATGAAGGGAGACCCGATCGGTAAAGGTATGTCTCCGGCACTGAGGTCTCCTCTACCACAAGGCGTTGTTTCCAAATTACCCTATGAAAAGCCATCGAAATATGGAATAGTGACATTTACGATGCTGTTATTAGCTGTGATCCTTAGAATATTATGGAAATTTTTGATTTAGATACACGATTTAGATACAAAATTCTGCAACTAATTATGTAAATACACTGCTCATATAACGCTATAAATTATAATTTTATATTTGCATGGAATAAATATCTCAAAATATTTATTTTCAGAAATAAAATCTCTAAACATTTATATTAGTAACTTTTAGTATAAGTTATTTAGTTTTGGATAAAGTGAGAGAAAGAATACATAAGATACGCGAAAAAATACTATATTTAATTGACAATACAGGAACCTACCCTGAAAGGGCTTACAACATTCAATTAGCTTAATATACATTTGCTACAATAATTCTTCGGCACTTCTAGACGCATTTCTGAAATCGTTTCTAACGTATAAATTCGAAATAGTCTCCAACTACAAAAATATAATAATATAATAATAATAATAATATAATAATAATAATATATAATATGAGAAGAGTATTGAGCATTCTCGCATTTTGTTGAAGTATATCTTCGAGCAAATGTATTATAAAACTTATATACTAAACACGAAAATATGTTTGCTTTTATAAAAATATCAAATATTTTTCTTATTACCTTATGGAGGCACTTTATTTGGTATCACTTTTTCGTGTGTGTGTGTTTGTGTGTGTGTGTGCGTGTGTGCGTGTGCGCGCGCGCGCGCGTGTGTATTGCTTATATTGGGGCATTGAAACTAATGACTCAAGTTTTACTTGCTAAATTTATGCAAAGCATAATGTAGCGAAAGAAAAATGCGTTTTCTTTTATAAAAATGTTATAACTTAGTGATGCAGGCGAGCTGTAAACCGATATAAATTCAGATATTATATATCAGTAAAATTTGAAATTATGTAAAATAATTGTATTAGAGTCTTCCAATTAAAATAATATTTAAATAACACTTTTGATTCAGATAATTAATGAAAAACTTAAAAAATATCCAATAAGTAATTTAAAAAATTCTAATGAATACCTGTGTGCATAAAAAATCGAGATATTATTATTAAAACTTTTTCACTTGAATTATCTTGTGGATATCGTGGTAACGAATAACTTCTACATCTATTTTCTTTTCTAGAGAGCATAAGAGAGCAATAATTCGTACAAAAATTTAAATGCAAAAAAAAATAATAAAATTTGTTTCCTTTGCCAATGTTATAAAAAAAATTTCACTAAAATCATTAAAAATCATCGGCTAAATCTTTTTTGTAAAGACTACACAGTAATCTGTGAAAAGAAACATCGTTAATTATATAATACAGTGATGCGCAACCTTTTTTAAGGATCATTTTCAGAGAATTATTTTCAGAAATGGGGTAAAATCTTGCGGGTCGCATAATAAATATTTAATTCGTTTATATAAAATAGAAAATATGATTTTATATTTTCAGTAATGAAGCAGGCAGGCCACAAAAATCTATAGGTGAGCTGCATGCGTGCCACAAGTTGCGCATTACTAATATAATAAACGTATTTTTATTCGTTTTAAATAAAAATATAGCGCAAATAAAATATCGATCACGAGATTTTATTTCGCGCTTACACGAATTATAAAATATATTACTATCACGCTCCGTTATTTACATGCAGTCTTTTTTTCGCATATATGTCGGTGTAAATAAGAGTATAAACATGAAAACTAATGCTACTTTTAAAATATCAAAATGTTAGATAGACTTGAATTAAAAAATGCGAACGAAAAAAAAAGAAAACGAAACAATATAATATGGCACCCCATCGAAGATTTTACTTGAGGATAAAAGATGCCGAAACGCAAGCTCGTTTCTTTCTCCCTCATAATTATGTCCGTGTTTAAAATATGGCAATTATTATGGCGCGAACTTAATCATGGCACAAGTGCAGAATTCTTTGTACCGACCTCTAACATCAGGAAATGTGAAGCAAAGAGAATATTTTCTTTTCAAGTTCCTCGCTCTCGCGTAAAACTTTTTCTTTTCTTAGTCTATCGAATAACATAAAACGAGATTATTAAAAGTGCTCATATTATTGCGGGATAATAATTTTCTTGCCAATTGTATTGACTATTCATTTTTTCTGTTCTCACTTCCTATTCTGGCACTCATTATTTCTCGCACACTTGCATCCATCTATTACTATGCAATTTCGATAATACTTATTGAACGAATTAAGCGAGAGTATGATATTTACAGATTCGCGTCGGAAAAAAGAGAATGTGGACTCTTATAAAATTTTAACAATGTCTACTCGACATACAAAAGAGAGAAAATTACATGCTACAAATTGGGAATTTAAAGGCATACATCTGTTTTCTCATCCTAAATCTTTCTCATTTGTTATCGTTGAATATCATGTGTTGAATATCATATCAAATAATTTAAATCATATCTCGAGATAGTTACTAGATTTTATCATAATCCATCCCATTCTCACCCTTTTCTCTTTTTGCGAATTCAGTATTAAATATTCTGTTAAGAATAAAGGATTATTTAAACTGTTCGTGTCTTGTTGCGTAAGGTTAAAATAGAAACAAAATATTCGCCAGAAAAGATAGAAACTCAGTATGTTTCTAATATTTATGAAAAAATGATAAATAGAATCAAGCCATTAGACGAATGAGAATTCGTCTTGCTCGCGTCTTGACAGACATCGTGACGGAATTCGTGATCGTTCCGACGGTTACCGTGTTTTATGATTCCTGTGAGAGAAAGAGTGGTTTCTGCGGACAGGCCCCAGCCACAAGAAACGCACGCGGGCCCCTGGCCAACTCTCTCCCCGTTTTCATTAGGGAGCTAAGAGCGCCCGGTAAAAAGCGGAATATCCGGGCGACGCAAAGTGTTTCGCCGGTACCTTACGTGGTTTTACGATCGTTACCTTTATGGCTTCTCATTTCTCCCTTCCCTCCCATTTTCGCATTTTTTTCTTTTCTTTTAGTGTCCCAGGATACTCTCCCCCTTGACTCTCGTTCTCTCTCCTTCTTTCTCGCTCGTACTTTTGTCCGCTGCCGAGTTGCATCGCTCAGGGCGGAATTTACTCTGAGGATCGACGAGGAGGAGGACTGGAGAAGGATTCGATTACGTATCCGTCGATGTCGTTCGAGAGATTTAAGTTATACTTCAGTATCCAGCCCCTTCAACTAATGTCGACAGAACGGGGCGAATTAGAGTGTTCGTGGATTTTATGACATTTAAAAATTATTCACGAGCGGCATTTACGGCAGTTAAATACGCTTATACCACCTCGTAGGCTAATATCGTCTATACGAAAACACCCTTAAGGCGTTTTTCAAACTATACACTTTTAAGGCGTTTTTCAAACTATACACTCTTAAGGCGTTTTTCAAACTATAAAGATGTGTCGTATCGCTGCGATGTGCAATCAAATTCATTTCTATACGCAACAAGCACGTCGCATCCATTCCATTTAAATGTTCGCCATAAACTAGCCGGGAAAATTAATCACTAGAATATTAATTTATCTTTCAAATTAGACTATAAAATCGCTCTTGACGCTGTCGACGTTTATAATATACACATTTTATCTATAATGTACGTTTGCTTTTCCACTCGATAGAGTGCCGACGCAATTCTGTAACTAGACTAGTTCTTCTCTCCTCGACCAAAGGAAAAGGAATCGATTTACAATCGACGCAAATTCCGTTTGCTCTGTCTCGAGCCGGCGATCAGACGTTTGTTGTTGCGTTTCGTCGGGGTGGCCAGTAAGGGCGTCTTACACGGACCAATGTGTGGTTTCGACGAGCATGAGATGCAAAACTCGATGGAACAACCCTGCCTCGAACAGGCACCCACGTTCTTCTCGCTATCCACATGACAAGGAAAGCTGCACCTCGGACATGGCAACAGATATTCACCACTAGCAAGCGTACGACTAGCCTAAAACAAAAAAGAAAGAGAAAGTTATTATTAATGTTGGAACAATGGAATGGATGATATAGATTCTTTTATTAAATTCATTACTTAATAATAAGTAAATGGAACGAATGTTTTTCTTGTGAATAAATGTCGCTTATTATATTCTTAAATGTTTTTTTATTAATTTTTAATTTCTCTACGTAAAGCTAATTTAAATTTTTACATAAAATTAAAAGTCTTAAAAACAACGATTCGATTTAAAATGATGTAAAAGCTATAATCTATTAGGATCCTTTGAAGATTTCCGACTAATCTTCTGTTAACGTTTATAGAAACATACTGACTTATATAATATAAGCTACGCTTACAAGTAATAAGATGCCTTCTCGCCTGTTGAGAAATAATTAATGAGATTAGTTGTGCCGATATATATATATATATACCTGCTCGTGACTTAGATTGCGTTGACGCGAGATGAAGGTGACGCGACGCAGTCCTAATACACGGATTAAGAGAATTAAGTTACACACGTAACGTCTTTTGGAAAGAAATGAGACATAAAGATTGGAATACGATATAAGAATGAAAAACAAAAAAAAAATAAAACTTTGCAAAAAGAAGTTTATCTTTTAATTCCTCATTAAAATTTCCTCATTATCATGTGTTCTAACAACCATTAATATTTTGTAAATATTCTATAAATTTCAAGAATATATAAATGATTTTATTAGTATTAATACTGTATTTAAATTTAAAATAAATAAAAAAATGTTCTTCTATAAATATGAAGCAAAAAAGAAAAGTATACTCATCAAATTTATTTTAAAATTATCTTAAAAATTTAATATCATTTTACCAAAGGATTTATCAAAAAATACTGACTTTGATATACGTTTCATTCTCTTAAATTTTCATACCTTATTCTCTTAAAAGAATTGCAAAAAGAATTGCAAATTTTATTGTTATAATTTATTAGATTATTACTGAACGATATATACGCGTGATAAAACGCAGAGTGTACAAAGTATGATCGTTGTATAAAGTTGACGAAGCTGAGAGCACGAATTGTCCGGCGGCAGTCGATACTTTCTCAGAACTTTGATAAGAACTATCGCGTAACTTCCATAACGGAGAGTTGCATGAAAGTAGATGACGAAAGAAACGCGAGCATGCGTTTCTTGCTCCTCTCGACTCACTGAAGTGCGTTTCAGCTTGTAACTTTGATGAGATAGAAATAGTGGTAAGGATTAATAAGGAATATAAGATAAGAGAGAGAGAGAAAAAAAAGAGAGAGAGAGAAGCATTAATATAAATTTGTCATTCGATTTATGTATTTAATATCAAGTTCACTAGAATTCAATACTAAATGTAAACATTGTTATACAATTTATAAATTTTCATTGTGAAATAAAACAAGAACATTATCAAGAAGAGAAAAAGTATCATCATTCTCTATACATTTTTCTTATCCTGCAACCTTACGATAATCTTTTCATGCATCGTTAATAAATTGACGCATGACAAAATGCACATAAGACATACTTGAGATGAATATCGATTATAAATATTTGTCTATTATAAATAACATAAACGTGTTTTTTTTTAATAACTTATTAAACGAAAATGTTTTCTTCAAATGTTATGTTCAATATATATCAAAATATTAATCGAATATACATACATGTATAAGATATACATAAAAGATGGGAAGTTATTCTTTGCTCTTACTCTCGATCGCAACTGGAGAAATATGCAATACAAGATTAGGGCAACAATGTTGAGAAGTGTGTGTGCATATGAATGTGATGGAAGCAAATTTTTAACGACAAAAATAATTACAAAGGAAACGCAATTTTCCGTTTGTTTAATAAAATACTGTTTGTTATATAATTATACCATAACAATGGCTTCTTTCATATTTGTAGTAATTTGTATAATATAATATGTCTTTATATTAAAAAATAAATTATTTTATTTATTAGAGTAACGTACCTAATTAGTATTGATGTTTAAATTTAGCTATCTTGGACGTGATAAATTTTGTAATTTAATAGCATGTATGCATTAGGCAGTGTCTCGCGCCATGATGTTTCGCTTGTCTTAGCGCCGAGACACTACCGTGTCTCCAGACCTTAAAAAAATTAACTTGAAAAATAAAGGTTGTCAAAATAGCGTAAATATGTTAGTTATTGTGTGTGTTTGTGTGTGTGTGTGTGTGTTTTTTTAATAAAATAATTTTAATTAAAATAAAAAAATTTCTGATCCATTTCAAATAAATGAAATTACATTCAAAATATAAAAAATTTTTTTCCATCACTTTTCCTTCGTCATATCTAAATGCAGTCGGGTTGCTGAGAAGGTTGGGATCCTAAGCACACAATGTAAAAACTGGTCTGACACAAGCCCTAAACCATCTGGTTTTTCCGAGAATTATTACTAACACAACTACCTTTAGAAAAGCTACACACAGTGGCATCTTTTTAATATTAATGTAACCCCACCAATATTTTAAATTTCAGATGAATGGTCGACCAAATGTATAGAATGACAGGAAATTGATTGCAACATCCTGCCTTCAATAATGCACTTTTCTAATTTTTCATAATTCTATGAAACAGGTACACAAAGCAGAAATTTTTCGAAATCTCAATTTGTTTCTTTTGCATTAATATTTATATTTCATTAATTGTCTATTTTATTTTAGACTGATTTATTACGGCTACAAAAGATTGTAATTGTTAAAAATAATAATATAAAAAGTATAATTAATGTTATTTAACAATAAACGATCTTTCGCTTAAAAGCAAAACTAAAAAAATATGAGCAGAAGAAATGAACTTTTTTAAAACTGAATATTACTGATGGTTCCTCTTGCTTTGAGATATCAATATCATTCCTATAAGACGACATTCCTATAACGTACGATTTCCGAAGGGACTTCGTATGGCGAACATCCGATTGATGCAACAATGTGATATATTAAAAATATTTCTCTATCACGATTTATTTATCTCTTAATCACAACTGATATAATATATTTATTTTTTATAAGAAAACACATACTATGTTTAATTTTTAATATATAATTTAATTTAAAGAATATTTATAATAACTATAGGATAAATTTATTTTTAGTAAATTTATTTTTAAAGTATTGCCTTTCTCATATCTCCTGTTTTCCATTTAAATTTTATTTTATTACGAATTTAATGCAACTTTGTGTAAAGATTATTATTAAAAAGAGTATTTCTGTTCAATAGAAGACTATTATTCAGAAAATAATCAATCTTGTCAGATTGTCATGAAATATTATGTCGAGTATTCGTTATTTCGTCAAAGCCGCTTTTATTAATGGCTGTAAACCGATATCAGCATCATAGTTGCGTCCATAGCAATTTAATGAGAAAATGTAGAAACGGACTGAACGGCAGGGTCCCTAGTGGCCCGAACTGCCACAATGTAGTAGATGGCCTGAGCAACTTTGTATCTCCCGCATGTGAAGGGTTCACCGATCCTCATGAAGAAAACCACTTGTCTGTGTTCCATAACGACCATACACACACTACTATTCTTGTGGGTAGCGTTTACCCGGCACTTTGTAGCACGGAGAGAAAAATTCTCACGAATCGAAAGGGACGGTCCGACAAGATTTTAAAGCTGGATACACGAACATGTTCACTTCACAGAATTCATTTGTAACAAAGTAGTAATTTAACTTTAAAAATTCATATAAATTCGTGAAAATAATAAAAACAAAATTTTTATGTCAGCGATAAAGAAGATTTTTGAATTAATAAAATACATAATTAAATAAAATTTTATAACTTTAAAAAAAATAAGAAACAAAATTTTTTTATTTAGAAAGGAAATGTACTGAGAAAAAAAATAGTTGTGACAACTATAAAGTACAACTCTAAAATTTAAATACTCGTAACTAGTTTTAAAAAATAATAAAAACTAAAGTAGTATCGAATATTATAAAAATATAGTTTTCAGTATTATTTTAATTCTTATTACTTTGTAAAACTAGTTGCAGGTACTTAATTATTAGAGTTATTAATTTAATAGTTGTCAAAACTATATTTTTCTCTGAGTGTAGAATATCACCGTATTATCTGTGAATGTGTCGTTGCAAGAAAGTGTCGCGCGTGTGTTGTATATATCATAACAAAGCAGTCTTTGATATTTTGTCTCT